CGGATAGTTGGCATTAATGTGAAATCGGCCCTCTGGCAAAGCCACCTTGCTTCTGTGGAGTAAAGGTAGTTCTATAGGCACAGATTCAACGACACATTCGTTGAAGAACTTGGCTTATGACATGGACACTTGGCCAGCACTATTTTCGTTACAAAGATATCCATACGACATTACTATCTAGCAGATGGAGATGTGAGATATGCGAAGCAGTGTGTGTTAGAGTGGCATACATTTAGGGGTGCGTGATTGGCATTTGACGCTATTGTGAGGATGAGCTCCAGGTTATGGGTGAGACGAGTGTCGGACATCTTGCCCAAGCGATTCGATGACGGAAAAACAATTGATTTTTAGGTGAGCATGGCTCGCAATGGTCGCGCAAAAGGAGGCTACTCAAAAGCAATATCAAGTCACCGCAGGGACGATGGCGCCCTGACAGAGATAGGAGCGCTTCATGCTTGAGTGGTGTCGATTGCTGATTGGAGCTGACCGGTTGGCTCGGCATGGTGCTGGGGGTCAGGATGAGAGGAATTTACAAGTGGGTGTTGTGAGATAGATCTACTCCATCTAATACTTGTAGAGAGAGAGAATCGGGATAGGTCACTACTGGCTTCTCTGGAAAAATCTTGACGTGTATGCTGTTAATAGAGTTAAGTATTAATCACCTACTCGTGGAATTCTATGGAAAATACATGTTTGCTTCATTGACTATAAATTATAGTTTGGGAGATGCCTTGTATATCACATCCGTCCTGTGAATCCTTGGCACCCGTGGCTGTGTAACGAGTGGTAGCGTAACCACGGTGCTCACAAACTGGCATCCAATCCCCTCAGGAATTCCGATTATACCTAGGCGATGTTGAGAATGCACTCGTGTTGGATGAAAGCACTCTGGGAAGCAAGGATAATTGGGATCCATAAGCATCTTTGTGGGAAAAATGATTATTATAAGAATTTCTGATAGTCTAGATATCTATCACATAAACTTAATCACTATTGCCTTAAGTCTCTTCTTTTGTGAGTACAAGGAAAGTTGATGAAAGTTGGGACAGCTTGGTCCTGAATATACACTGATTTTCTTAGACGTTTGTGAGAAGCATCTGGTTAAAGAATCATGATTTGGAGTACATTCTTCATGGAATTCTCGCACAGATGTGGTCGTGATAATGCTATTATATAGTCTATGCCTAGAAATGTAAATATTTCATTTAATATGACAGAATGGAGGAATTTTTTTGTAGAAAGAACATGGGTTTATATTTTGATACAACTTGTTTGAAGTGGAGCTTTTAGTGAAAGTACTGGCTGTGATCAACTGGCACAATTTATATTATGGTGGGACTAATGATAACTATTATTACTCTATTAAATCCACTTAAAGGGATGTCCACTTATTTAATCAGAATGAGCTTGGTATAGGCCTTGTCATATATAATTAAATTTTGGATATGGCACTTGATCAAGGTAAAACAACACAAGTGGAGGAATATCATGGTAGCTTATCAGTGTAAATCAATAGTCTGGGGCAAACTTACAACTGGGGAGTTGTTTGTTGCCTGGACTGTATCTCCTCACTAACGACGACGACTTCAGTAGTGGCATGTATCTTCTAGTATCCCTAGTCATTGCCCCGATATTGATAGAACATTTTCTTACATGAAAGATTGCACAGAACTCCGAGGCCTCCGTTAATCGTAATCAAGTTTCGAAAAACACACTTAAACCAACTACGGCAAATTGATACTTATATCAAGCTAATGGTTATATTATATTGGTTTTCATATTTGCCATTATTTCTGTATCATTTATTCATACCTTTGCTGCAGCGGCCTAACTCTCTCATCGTCCATCAGCTGCGTCAAATAATGCTTTGCTTACCCTTCACAGCCAATCTCATTTCACAACTCAAGGAGTGCGGCTCCTCGGATCCAGAGACAGAAGCTTTACATTTGGTAAGAGCTCGCCGATCCTTTTTTAAAACTTTATTTATAATGGCCTTGTTATTTTGTTATATTACCCTTTTTATGCTCAGAAATAGTACATTGAATAATCTTGATTGGGCATCAAGGAGCCATACAGGTATCAAATCTGGTTTAATAGATGTTTTTTTAACTTTTTGTCTAGTATACACTATAAATCTGATAGGAATTTCGGATTTATCTTAGATGGGAATTTTTTTGTTATTCCTACTTCTCAGTGCTTTTAGTCCAATTACTAAAATATGCATCTAACCTCTAAATAAAATTATGCTAGTCTATTACTTTAAAAAATAAATCCAATTTTATATTTGGAGAATCCTACTTACTCTTACATTCTAAGTACTAAGTAAGCAAGAATGGATTTTAAGCTGCCATCTCAATCAGCTTAGAAACTAATTCAATTGAATTCCAATTTATATTACTTTACAGTACTTCTAAGTAGCCATACGCATTTTTAGAGACTTTTAAATATATATATGCTGATAAGTCTTTGTGAATTGGCACATCATTTGCATTTCCTCTATATTTTTCTTGCCAAGGCTCTCATTGAGTCTAAATATTTGATTACTTTGTTTAGTTGACCACGTGGAAACCTAATAATTTATCAGATGCTGAGGTCCTTGATGGAAAAAATCAGCTTGGCTCTACGATAACTGAGGAGTCTTCTGATACTGGTGGACCGTTCTCTAAGGTTGACAAAGTAAGATATATTTTCTCGATTTTTAGACTTAGCTAAACACTGTTAAAGAATTTCTTAAAAGTATTATTATTTTAATCTATTGATCCTAAGGCTTTCTGTTGGTCTACCTTGGTTCTGAACTTGATTCTTCATGGTGTATATATTTTTAAGGAAACTATTTTTGGGGTTACTTCAAACTAAAAATAGCATTGTGTTGGTTCGACCTTGTTTTCGCTACTTGGTCGCAGCTTCAGGGAAACCTTGTGGAACGTACTTAGTCCTGCGTCCTCCGACATAATATTCATGATTTGCAGCATCGGACCATTGACTTGGGTCATTCCCAAACGTATCGCCGGTGTTGTTAGTGAGAGGTGCCATCATCAGCACAGATTTACAACTTATAAAGGTGAAAAATGAAGGCAATCTCCCTGAGCATTTTTCTGTTGAATCATTTTGGCATTACTCGCCCCTATTTTTCGTTCTACCTTGTAGTGCTGCGTCTCCTTCTCTCAATCCTTCTTCATATGGGCCATCCACTTATTCACACAATTTTGTGTCCTCGTTTCTTTCGTTGTTGTCTAAGAGTGTGTCGCTACAATTAGGTTTAGTGATGAGGTTGAACGAGGTCGAATCAACACTAGAGCCAAAGGAAACTGCGATTAAGCAGAAGGTCACACCATCCTGGCCTTCATATCTAAGAAATACTTATTATCTTTATTTTCCGTAATACATTAACAAAAATCAACGATTATACGAGTTAGAGTCCTTATCGCGAAATTACCAACTATCAAACTGCAAGAGAGAATGCTGAATGCACAGAAAATTAAGATGCAGATGAAAATTTCATTGAATATAACTTTAAATCGGATTTCGTGACTAAGTTAGATTTTTTAATTAACGAAAAATTTACGCATATATGAATCGGCCCAAAAACCAAATAATCTTATTTTATGTACAGTATTTTGCTTTCCATCTTTATCCTTTGTTTACTAGTTACCTGGGCATTCCCTTTAGCGTAAGTTGCCTTTACTCCACTAATTATGAAATACTTTTTTTAAGTTATTTATATAGTTACATTTATTATTTCTAAATAAGCTTCTTTTCTATATATGAAGAGTAATTGTACATCAATGAATCTCTTAAGATAACATTGCTATCTAGACTCTTATTTCATATGGGAGTGCACGATCAAGAGATTCTTAGGTCAGTCTCACCATTAGACGACGACTTATTCCAGATGTTCTACAACCTTTTGACTTTAATACGCTGTTTAAGATAATAAGCATATAAAGGCCTAAAAATATTAACAAACTCAAAGATGCAATTAAGATGTCTTGGGCAGAAATAACCACGGATATGACAATGAGATTGGCTGAACGTTTTCAAAATGAGCTAATGCTCTTTATAAAGCCGAAGGTGAATCAACAAAATATTAAATGAAAATTGGTGCGTTTTTTTAATAAAAAAGCTTAAAAAGCGATAAAATATTCCAAATTAAACTTATTTTAAAATAAAACAGAAATG